CTTTCCTATTTCCCCTTACCAGGGAGATCTGGGCACCCCTCCCCCCCATGAACACTCCTTGTTATCTTGTCTCTCTTGGTCTGTGGATTGTAGCATATTATCCTTTATTTTACAGCTGATATCCACTTCTGAGTGAGTACAAACCATGCTTGTCTTTCTCAGTCTGGGATACCTCACTCAGGATGATTTTTTTTCTAGTTCCATCAATTTGCTTTCAAATTTCCTGGTGTTTTTAACAGCCGAATAATACTCCATTGTGTAGATGCACCACATTTTTCTTTATCCATTCCTCAATTGAGGGACATCTAGGTTGTTTCCAGGTCCTGGCTATTATAAATAATGTTGCTATGACCATAGTTGAACAAGTATTCTTGTAGTATGATTGAGCATGCTTTTGTCCCCCACAGATAAGTCCTTAGCATCTACAGTCACATATCACTATGCACCCTAGCTTCTTCCATATAAGCTAAACTCAGGGTTTTCTAGAGAATAGTGCTCCAACGTGTGTCCCCCGGTACAAGGAAGTCACATGTACTGTTTAGGTGCCCATTAGTAACAGCAGTGAAACCAACAAAATGATTCTAAATGACGTGAGAACAGTTAACCTCATTAATTGACATTTTTGAAAAATTTTATTTTTAATTGTATGTGTGTATGTGCACATGCATGTACATTCGAACCACTTGCCAGTTTTCTGTACTTAAAAATATATGTGCTGCTTAATAAATAGGACCTCATGAAGTTGAAAAGTTTCTGAAAAGCAAAGTTTACTGTCAATAGGACAAAACAGCAACCTACAGAATGGGAAAGGATCTTCACCAACTCCACATCTGCAGAGGGATGATTTCCAAAATATGTAAAAAACTCAAGGAACTAGATATCAACAAACCAAATAATACAATTAAAAATGGGGTACAGATCTAAACAGAGAATTCTCAGCAGAAGAATCTGAAATGTCTGAGAACCACTTAAGGAGACGTTCAACATCCTTAGCCATCAGGGAAATGCAAATCAAAACGACTCTGAGATTCCCATCCTACACCTGTCAGAATGGCTAAGATCAAAAAACACAAGTGACAACTCATGCTGGAGAGGATGTGGAGAAAGGGAACACTCCTACATTGCTGGTGGGAATGCAAACTTGTACCACCACTTTGGAAATCAGACGGCCCCTAGGATTCTTGAAGATAAGATTGCCCAGGACAGCATGGTATTGTGAGAAGGACCCAACATGCTTTTGGTTGAATCCTGGCTTCCCCAATATTCTACCTCTGTGACTCTCTATTATTTGACCTTCCAAAGCCTCAGTTCCCTTATTGGACTAGTGTTGCTGAACTGCTATAAATCACTTAGCACACTTTAGATTTATATACTCAATAGTTACCAGAAAATACCATATTTGACCTGAAAAAATGACTTCGCATTAACTTTAGGATCCCTGTTTCCCAGACATTGACAAGGTCTCTCAGATCATAGCAGTGTGTGTGGTTGAACTATGTGTTGAGAAAAAGACCCTTCCCACTCTTTTTTTAAAATAAGTTTTAACAGTTTCACACATGTATGTGATTTTTTAAAAATCATAGTCCCTGTGGTGGTTTGAATAGGAATGGTCCTCAGACTCATGTGGCACTATTAGGAGGTGTGGTCTTGTTGGAGTAGGAAGTGTGTCACTGTGGAGGTGGGCTTTGAGGTCTCATATATGCTTGAACAATACCTAGTGTGGGACCCAGTCTCTCCTTCTGCTGCCTGCAGATCCAGATGTAGAACTCTCAGCTCCCTCAACAGCACCATGTCTGCCTGCATGTTTCCAGGATTCTCTCCATGATGATAATGGACTAAACCTCTGAAACTGTAAGCCAGCCCCAATTAAATGTTTTCCTTTTTAAGAGTTGCCATAGTCATGCTGTCTCTTCCCAGTAAAAGAAACCCTAAGTCTTGACTTCTTTCCAACACGGTCTCTTCATCTTTCATGCCTTTGTTTTAGTGACCCACTGAGTTTTAGTGATTCAATGAGCACGAGTGTGGGTTTATTTACTGAAACATGTCTTCTTGTCTGTGGGTATACCACTGAAGGCAAATAAATGCCTTCCCTTGCTCCAGTAACTCTTAACTACCAACAGCTTCACAGCTAGGGATGGGGCCTCAGAAGCTCCTCCCCTTGTGTGTAGAGGGGCTCAATATTGTGATCCTGTACTGGTCTTGTACAGATAACTATAGTTGCTGGAGTTTAGGAGTCTTAACAGCCTTGGCATATCCAGAAGTACCATTTCACGGCACTCCTGTCCATCCTCCAGCACTTAGATTCTTCTGACCCCTCTTGTGGGGTGTTCCTTGGACCTTGGGTGGAGCTGTGGTTTAGAGCAATACTGACGGCACATTCAGGGCTGAGTACTCAACAGTTACCTATTCTCAGCATTTTGAGCAGTTATGTGTCTTGGCATCAACCATTGCCGCTGCCCAAAGAAGCTGCTCTATTGCACTGGTTGGGTCTCATTGACTTGACAGAGCCTAAAGTCTCTTCAGGTGAAGAACTGCTTTGATTAGTTTGTCCTGTGGCCATATCTGTGAAAGGTTGTCTTGATTGGTGGTTGACGTTTAGAGAGAGCAGCTCACTTTGGGTAGCTTCAGTCCTGGGTAGGTGGGCCTGAGATATATAAGAAAATTGGTTGAGAAAGCCGGTAAGCAACATCCTTCAATATTTCCTGCTCCAGTTCCTTGTCTACCCTCAGTGTTGGACTGTGTTCTGCCTTGTAGTGGCATCTTGTTTCGCCAGAGTACTTGCTGCGGTAGCCACATCCTAGGTACTCGGCTTCATGTGTGTGGACATTACCCCTTATAAGGAAGAGGACGGGGCTGCCTTGCTCTCTTGGGTTGTAGTCAGAGCATCCAGAAGGGCAGAGACTCCATCTTTAGGAGCAGGAAGACTGCAGCATTTTTTCTTTTCTTTTTTTTTAACCATCATCATGTGAGTGCTCCCCTAATAAATACCTGTTAATCATTTATCTGGGTTTTGTGGACTCCTTTAAACCTGCCTTCAGTGACCTGGAAATGTAGGTCAAATAAACTTTATTACACTACAAAAACAGAAAAGCTAAAACACTGACCAAGGATGATACATGGGAATAAACATAAATATTTAGAAGGTAGATAGACCGCATGTATGTTCAACAAAAGAATAGTATCAAGTTCTGCCCTAGGGCCTATGAATTCCCCAGATGGGGCTTTTTGACAAGATATACAATATCAGGTATGAATTCCTTCCTGTGGAGTGTGCCTCAGATCCAATCAGAAAGTGGTTAGTTACCTCACAGCCGTCATGCCAGCAGTCACGTTTTGCCTGGAAATTCAGTATGTTAGTAACCAGGTCCACTTCTGGGTAAGATCACAGAGGGGTGTTCTCCCCCAGCAGCCTGGACACTACATTCTGCCATTATGAAAGCTAGACAGCAGAGAGGAAGATTTCAGATCAGTTCCAGCTTGATTTCTGTGTATCTTGTAACCCAAGAGTGTGATGTCTTCAGCAACGGGGTCTCATGGTCTAGTTCTAGAAGGCAGCCAACAAGGCTCTTCAAACCATTGAGCACACCTTTGGGTTTTTTTCATCTCTATCTTCACTAATTTATTGGACAATAAAAAATGTTAATTGTATACTCCAAGATGAATCTTGGTTTGTTTACCTCTGTGCTAGCTGGTTTTATGTCAGCTGGACATAAATTCGAGTCTTTTGGGAAGAAGAGACCTCAACTGAGAAAAATGTCCCCACCAGATTAGCCTGCCGGCAAGCCTGTGGACATTTTCTTGATTGGTGGTTGTCGCGCGAACACCCAGCTCACTTTGGGTAGTGCTACTCCTGGGCTGGTGGTCCTAAGTGCTGTAAGGAAGCAGGCCGAGCAACACACCTGTGTGGGTTCTGCTTCCGTTCCTGACTCCAGGCTCCTGCCCTGACTTCCTTCGATGATGGACTGTAACACGTAAGTGAAATAAAACCCTGTCCTCCCCAAGTTGATAGTGTTTGTGTCGTTTTAACGCAGCAATAGAAACCCTAACTACGACAGGAACCAAAATATGAACTCATTATGAAGGCAAAATGAAAAGCACTCATGTGGCACGCAAAAGCTGTTTGCTCACCATTAACGAAGCATTGAATAAGTCACCTGAGCCCCCGACACTCCGGAAGTAAGATCTTCCGAAAAAGTCAGCTGAGACTGAATATTGGTACTAATCTGCTCCCGATGGCACACCAGAGGAATACAACTTATTGTTTATTTTTATTTACTTATTTGGAGTAGGGTCAGGTTGGTGCTGACCTCACTAAGAAGCCAAGACTGACCTTGAACGCTTTCCTATTCCTCCTCTCTCTGCTCCCCAAGTGCCGGTATTGCAGGCATACATCACCTAGCCTACCCTGCACATCCTGTCTCTATTCCTACTACATCATCTTCATCGGGCAAACCTGCTTGCCCGATTTGAATCACCTGGCTTTCGCCCCCAGCCTCGCTCCAGCGCTTCCCTCTTCTCAGGGCTGGCAGGATCAAGGGGCTGCAGATGACTTCTCCCCAGGCACCTGGTGCTAGCTGTGCCTAGGAGCGTGCAAACGACGCCAGCTGGGCTTGCAAATCCCCGCCCGGCCGGCAGGGGGCGCCGCGTCGGCGCGGGCGGGGGCGCGCGCGGAGCGGGGGCGCGCCGGCCTCTGGGGCCCGGGTCTCGCTGCCCGCGGGCGAGCGGCGCGGGGCGGAGGAAACGGCCCGGAGCGGGCAGGGCGCGGCGCGCGCCCGAGGGGGCGGGGAGGCGGGAGGCGCGCGGGGGCGGGGGCGGAGGCGGGGGCGGGGGCGAGTGACTAGCGCGGGCGGCGCGCGGCGCGGCGCAGAGGAAGGCGGCTACCCTGGACAGCGCATCGCGGCCGCGCGGCCATGGTGAGTGAGTGGGGCCGCGCGCCTCGTCCGGGCGGGCGGCGGACGTTGGGGCCCGGGGTGTGCGAGCGCGGGGCCGGGGCGCCGGCGGGTAACCGGGGCGCGGGGGCGTGTCGCCGCTGCAGCCGGGGCCCAACGCTCTCCCCGAGCCGCTCGCCGAGGGTCCCCCGCGAAGCCAGGCGCCTGGGCACAAAGGCGGAGACTGTGTGCTGCTGGGCTCGGAGGGAGCCGGTCCCGGGCGGGCAGCGATCCCAGCCCTAGGGGAGCTGAGGCAGGAGGATTGCCGTGAGTTCGAGGCCAGCCTGGGCCGCAGTGAGACACTGTCTCAAGAACAAAAACAAAAACAAAAACAAACAAACAAGAACAACCCGCCTCCCCGCTAAAGAAAAGAAAAGAAATCCGCACCTCCTGCGTTCGTCTTCAAACCCGCATTTGTCTTCATTGGTCTTTGTCTTTTCGCCGGCGCTGGAGGGCTTGCTAAGTATGTGAAGCGCCTGCCCCTTTCCCTGCCTCACCAGACTCCAGTCAGCCCTAGATTGTCCCCCTCGTCTCATGCCCTCTCTACTTAATTAGATGGGGAAGTCTTGGCACTAAAATTCCAGCCCACCAGTCACTTTCTTATTCTCCCTACCTCCTTCATTTTGTCTTTTCTATTAAGCATGCTATAATCTGCTTCTTTATATGATGTATTGAATATCTCCCTCACCAAAATGCAAGTTTTGATGAACAGTCTTTGTCAACGGTGCGTGGTGGTACTCGCCATTAAAAAAAAAAAAGAAAGAAAGCAAAGTACTTTGTGCTATGCTAATAGGGAGACAACAGCATCCTTGAAGTGGATCACTACAAGAACTGTCCGCTTGACAGGGGTGATGAGAATCTAAAGTGCACTGTGGTGGGGGGACTCCCTGATCAGAATATTGGTGGCCACCTCATGCCTGGTGGCCACCTTATGCTTCTCTGCCACTTAAGTCTCCTGACATCTGAGTGGACAGAGCATTTTTAGTGCTCTTTCTCCCTCTCTCTGTCCCTCTCACTCTCTCCCTCTCTCCTTCTTACCCTCTCTTCCTCCCTCCTCCCTCCCCTCTGTTCTGAACTTCTGTTCCAAAGTAGATGGAGATTTCAATTAAGGAAAGCTTCCAAGAATATTTAACTCAATGAAGTAGTCAATGGGTATTAACTTGGAAGAGTCACTGCCAAGGAAGTCTCACAATATTTGTTCAATAGCATTTGACTTCCTTTTCAATAAGCATTTTCAAATCTGTGTCCAAATCAAGCAGTGCCACTTTTGAGAGGGGGAAAGGGTGGGGGTTGGGTTCATAAGTAAGTGGGTCAGTTGATAGACTCTTCTACATCCAAGCCAAAGTTATCTCTGCTAATTAGTCTTATTGCAAAAAATACTATTCAGGTTTCCTTTTTGTCCCATTTGCACAGAGTAAATTTATGCTGGTGGTCTGTTATTGGTCTAGGGAAGTGTGTTTATTGTAATCAAACAAACTGCCAATGGCATTTACGTGAGAAGACTTGAAAATAATGGAGTTAAGATTGTACAGCTGGTAGTCCTCAGCTAGTCTTATCCAGATAGTGGAAATTAAAGCTTTGTTTTTTAAAATTAAAACCAGTGAACTAAACATAAATTGATGGTGTTTCATTTTTAATTTCAATTTGTATTTGCAGGAGATTTTACTGTTAGGATTCTAGCAAAAAGTAAGAAAATAGGATTTTGTTTCTTGGACTTTGTTTGAGACAGAATCTCTTAGTTCAGGTTAGCTTCAAGCACTCAATCCTCCTGCCTCCACCACCCGAGTGCTAAGATTACATGATGGAACCACCACCATACCAGACACAGTGTGTTTTTAAGTTGTCCAGTTGGGTAAGCTCAACATTTTGAATGAAATGCATTTCAGTTTGGGAGGTTCAAAGGCTGTGGTCTGAAAGATTACTGGAAATGTGTTATGTGTATCTGTATTGTGTATCTAGCTGTGTTCAGAAAGCAGGGCCCTTCTGTTCATGGTTTTCCTCTTGGACAATTAGATATGGGCCATTTAACTGGAGGGGCTGGGGTGGGCATGGAGTTGCTACGAGTAGGTGCTCACCAAGGAAAGAAGTTGCAGTGGAGACTTTGTTAGCCCAAAAGAGTAAAACTGTGTGAACATCATCAGTAGCTCATCACACTCCAGAAAGTCACACATTTACCTATTTTTGTTTTCAATTATGAGTAATATGTTTAGGCCATCACTAAGTCTGACAAGGAACCATTCTAATGGATTGGTACTTCCATCCTTTAGAATGTAAAATCTAGCCATTTAGTGACTTGAGAACATGACTTGTTTTGAAGTTGATGTGATCTGGTGTCAGTCATGAGTTTGAATCTCAGCTTCACATTTAACTGTGTGACCTCAGGATTTTCTTCCATAAAAAATGCTACTATGGCAGGATATTGAAGAGCACACATATATAATTCTAGTATGTGGGGAGCTGAAGTAGGAGGGCCTGAAGATTGAAACCAGCCTGGGATAGCCATAGGACCAGCCAGAGCAATAGTGACTATCTCTAGATATAATATTACAAGGTTTGGCGGAGGAATAAATAAGATCGTGTACTTTATGAGTCTACTATATCTAATAGAAATATAATGTAAAGTATATATGTAATTTTGAAATTCTGGTAGGCACATTTGCAAAAGGAGAGACTCCGAGAAGCAATTTTAACATTTAACTCACTCGAAGCAAGTGTTATATCCACATGCAGTCAATACAAAAAGTTAAGGGATTTTACACATCCTTTTCACACAAAATCTTCAAAATCATGCCATGGGCGTGGTGGTGCATTCCTGTAACCACAACACGTAGGAGAGTGTGGTAGAAGGATTGTGAGTTTAAGGCCTCTCTAGGCTATAAAAGGAGATTCTATCAAAAACAAAGAAATATCCAATTTTTTCTAAATTCTAATGTGTTCATACTTATAGCACAGCATATGCCAGTTCAGGGTGACTGTATTTTAGTTGCTCCTGCTTTGGAGGTCGTCATATTGGACAAATAGCTATCAGAAGCACGCACGCCCAAATTTACCTCTTATCTCTGATCCCTTTCCACTCACGAGAACCTCGTTGACACCTTAGACCCAGCACTAGGAAAAGGAGGCTGCTCACCTTTCAGGCCTCCTCCACCGGCCTTCTAGGTTACCGTGACAGAAATCCGATTCCTGGTCCATTTTTTTCTTTCATGCTTTTTTTTTTTTTTTGTCCAACATCCTCAGATTTTTGTTTTAAATGTTTTGTTTTGTTTGTTTTTTTTTTTAACATTTTCTCACCTCTACCCCAGCTTTCTTTCTGCCATGTTTGCCCTTCTGCAAGGTTTCTACCTTTTTGGTTTATTGATTTTTTTTTAATGATATTCTCTGAATCACTGGGCTCCACATCTCCTTATCCTTCCCTTGAGTCCTTTCTCATGTTAAATCATAATGGTTTCTATTTTACAGTTCATCTCTAATATCCAAAGAGTAATAACTACTGTAAGTGACAGCCTGGTATTAAAATGATCCATCCAAAAAAAGAAAAGGAAAATAAGCCACAGTGGGCGGTGGGCTGATCTTAGTACCATAGAAACATGTTTATAACTTTTTTGAACATTAGCTTCATTTTAATCTTTCAAGACGCATCAGTGACTCTGATTAATAATAATAGCAGTGACCGTGACAGTAACGCTTTGTGAGAAGCAGAGTGTGCTCGCCTCTGTCCCCGGAACAAGGACACAGCACAGAAGGAAGACACTGGGCAGTTGGTCAGAAGAGGCAGCTCTCAGTGCTGACTGGATTACCACCAGTTCTGTCCCCCAGGCAGGTCACTCTGACACACTGTTTACCACTTACTAAGTGGGGCTAATCTTTTACATACGATTACCAGCATCGGGATGGGACTCAGTCTGGGCTCCTCCTGCACAGTCATGTGTCTGTCTTCTATGTCCACTATGACTAGACCTCCTCTAACCACACCATTGAAAGCTAGAGCCTACCTATCTTAACTATACACACCAGATTCTCTCCCTCCTCAGCAGACTTCCTAACAGCCTGCTCAAGTACTCTTGGCCCCTTCTAATCTGTTACTAATGGCTTCATGTCTTTTACTGAATTCTAACCTCCTGAGGACAGGCCTTGTCTGTGTTCAGTGATGAATCTCAATATTAGGAATGATGCTAGCGTATCATAGGCATTAGACAGTATTTGTGGTAGTTGGCCATTTGATTATAACTTAAATACACTGTAGGCTGGGGAGATGTCGGTCAGTAAAGAGATGCTGTGTCAGCATGAGGACCTGAATCAGATTCCTGGCGTCACATAAAAATGAACAACCCAAAAGCTAGGCATGGTGTTTTGAGCACTGTAACCCAATACTGAGGGTACAGAGACAAGAAGATCCTGGCTTGCTGGCCAGCCTGCCTAGCAGCCCTGGAAAGTTCCAGATTCAGTGAGAGACCCCGTCTCCAAATGTGCCTGTGGGGGGGGCATGCATCCCTAGGGTGACTTGAGCCCCTGGCCCATCTGCAAGTATAGCAATACTTTTTTGTATTAGTGAATATTTTATATTTATAATTAGGTTATAATGTAGCTAAAACATAAGGTGTTTTCAGTGCATTTTTATACATAATATTTTGAAGCTTCTCTCAGAAAGTAGATCCTACAATGCTGAGCTTACATCATAGGTAAGAAAATTGAGTTTCAAAGAAGAAAAATGATTTGTTCGAGTCATATATAGAGGTCCAGACTCTCCCATCCCAGGGTACCCTTTTCACTACTCCACAGTGCCTTATCCACTTACACATGCATAAAAAGTCATCATTAACTTCACTATGGTCCCATTGTTATACACAGAATTGCAAAGCAAGCAACTTTCCCATGTAGCTTCCACCCCACTAGTTACATGGGTGGAGAGATATGGATACACAGATGGGTGACTGTGCAGGTTGAACATCCATTCTCAGAAACGCTTCATAACTGAAGTAGCTTGAATTTAGGATTTTTTTCAAGATTTTGAAGTATTTATAAACACAAATCCTAACACAGTGATATATCTTGAGCATGGTAATTCTAAACACAGAATCCATTTATTTTTCATAACACATCTTATATTCAGCCTAAAGGTCATTTTCACATTTGTAATGTACTTAGTTTTGACTATAGCATGAGGTCAGGTGTGGAATATTATACTGTGGCATTACGTTAGCACTCAAAATGTTTTAGATAGCTAACCTAAACATGTATGTATACACTCATTTAAATATTAAATAAATAACATTAAAGCCTATTTCACATATTCAAGAACTGGAACACACAAGGTTACTTATGTAATAGGAGCACCCTATAGTAGATGAGTAGTTCTCAAGCCAAATCACATAGTTACTGGTCTGATTAGAATGACTGTAGTATTAAAACTGCCAAAAACGACGACTGCAGATTTGCATATGTTATGTTTTAAGAGTTTATTCA